CTAAACTTGTTTATGGCTGTTTATGAACAGCTGTGGAAATCATAAACAAATGTAAATATTGCGGAAATCAAGCATGGCGATAATGATTTTGAGCGAGACAGAGTCTGGCAAGCGTCTCAGAGCAGCATTGCGCCGACACCACCACAACGTTTGAATCCCGGTGAGAGCACTGCAAACCTCTTAAGTCACGAGGTAAACTTTCAATTTACACAATACATAATCAGTTCCTACAACCATAATAAAAAGGCAGTTTTTCTGGCGAAACTCTCGCCAGGTTAGCAATAGTTTCTCACGATCACCAAACCCGAGACACAAACGATAATACAAAGTGTATAAATACCATAACAAGCACAGTTTCTTACCTTTGAAATTGACGAGACACAATTTTGTCCATAGAAGCGTTGCGCAATTAAAGATACAATTCCGGGATACAATATCCTCACAAAATTGACTGATTTCCACCGAGACGAGAACTGCATAAGCGTCATCAAAACTCGGATTAAACTCGGGTAATTTCGGGAAAAGTCGGATTTTGAAGGAAAAATGTTAAAAATCAAGGAAAAACACAGTAAAACTTTGAAGAATCGAAAAAATAACTTGATGTGCACAATAGCACCATCAATTTCTGTCTCTGTACCAACTTTGAACTGAATTGGATCACACATGTGTGAGAAAAAGCTGGTAACATGAAAATGTGCACACACATTGCACAGACACAACCCAAATTAATACCCCCCGCCCGGATCGCAGATCCGGCGGGGGCTAAAAATAGAGATTTGAACAATTGCCATGGAATGAACAAATCTGACAGAGGTTCACCCAAGGTATCTACATCCCCAATCTGATTAAAATAAGATTTTAGTTTTGGCTTTTTTTTTGTATATTTATTTTATTTTGATCTAGTATTTATTTTTTTGAAATTTCGGTAATTGCAAAAGTAGGACGGAATTAAAAGAAAAATTTCAAAATCAAAGTAAAACAATAAAATAAAAAGGCATTAATAACAAAAGTAATACAAATAAAATTAAAATAAGTTGATAGCCAAAATAATTAAAGTCCGTACGTACACTACATCTGATTTTAATCAGATTGCTACATCCCAAATAAATGGTAGTTTTCAAGAAGAAGTTGAACTCTACTCTGTCACCTTTGATGACAGAAGAGTGTAAAAAATAGTTAGAAACAGAGCATTCTAGAAGATTTGTTATTATATGGGGGTATGGATAATTAAAACATTAAAATGATAAATGTAATCTCTTCATTTACGTGGGAGAGAGCCATAAACCCATTACACAAAAACAATATTTTTGAGCTTCTTAATTTGCAAGATTTGCATAAATAATAAATTTTAATGGAAACAGAAAATCATTTGCTCATAGCAACAGCAAAACAAATTAATGTTTCTAGGTTTTGTTTTAATTTGATCAACAGTGAATGAATTTGGTTAAATGCTATCAATGGTGGTTATTTTAGCTATAGCGCCCCCTAGTGGTGATTGTTGTATTTACTGTAGTTGCTTTAGAATATGACGCCATCTAGTGGTAACATCATATCCTTGCAATACATACATCAAAACTTTCCAACCCATGCTACATGCCCATGTCAGAAATCAGAAACAGGGTTGATTACAAAACAAAAGTAATCATGCGAGACAGCTCAATAAAAAAGAGCAAAATCATTAGTACAAAGAACACAAATATGGCAATAGAAACTAGACAAAGACTAACCATTTCTTTACTGACTAATATGTTAATATCAAGAAAGAGACACTTTGTGATGGGCGTCTTTCGTGGTCAGTGATATTCACAAAAATATTTGTTCACAACTCTCTAGACCGTTTACAACTAACTGGCTTAGCAATTAATAAGAGAATTTATTACATAACCTAAACAGAAAAAAACATTGCCTTCCCTTGCCATAATTATGCATTTTTTCTATCACGGTAACTTCATGCAGGAATCCTAATCAATAAGAAGTTCTCAACTCAATTTTGCAATACTGGCAGCTGCAGGATTTTTTTTAATTTTTTTATTGACTCCCATGTGCGAAGCACAAAATGGGAGTCTTTGCAGTTAGTGTGTCTGTATGTGTGTATGTGTGTATGTGTGTATGTGTGTATGTGTGTGTGTGTGTATGTGTGTCCGACTGTTCCACTGCTATCTCAAGAACCATACATCGGTTTTTGATGAAACTTGGTGCATAGATGCTCTGGGCCAATGCGCAGATTTGATTAGGTTTTGGTAAAAATCCATGCTCGTTAATTACCTAATTTGCATGATAATTAGCTAATTTTTAGCTGTTCTATGACTGTTCCACTGATATCTAAAGAACCACTCATTGGATTTTGATGAAACTTGGTACATAGATGCTCTGAACATATGCGCAGATTTGATTAATTTTTGGTAAAAATCCGTGCATATTAATTACCTAATTTGCATGATAATTAGCTATTTTTTAGTGGTTCCATGACTGTTCCACTGATATCTAAACAACCACTCATTGGATTTTGATGAAACTTGGTACATAGATGCTCTGAACTAATGCTAGGTTTTGATTAGTTTTTGGTAATAATCCGTGGATACTAATTACCTAATTTGCATAATGATTAGTCAATTTTCGGTTTTTCCACTGATATCTCAAGTACTAATCATCACATTTCAATGAAACTTGGTACATAGATGTCATACGACACTGCACAGACCTGATAGTTTTTATGGTA